CACTCACACAGGTTGTGCTTGCGGGCAATGTAGCGCAGGATGGCGTTGCTCTGGGTGATCTTGTGAGCCCCATCAATCAAGTAGGGCAGCTGGACGGATGGGAAACCAGGGAAGCTCAGTTGGGCCAGCAGCCTCCCCAGCATCCCCTTCCCATAAGCAAGGGCAGACAGGAGACCGGGCACTCACTGTGCCTGCTCATGGCAGGCTCAGATAGGAATACTGTCACATGGACAAATGAGCTGGGACACAGAACATCATGGAAGGGCTGTGCAGACAGCCAGGAATGAGAGGAACTGGGCAGAAGACCCCTGACCCTAACACCTCTAAGCTGGGGAGAGGAGACGCAGTCAGAGACACGCTGCACTGTCCCCCAAAACCGCCCCTTCCCCTGCACCTACATTGGGAAAGTCCAGGCCCAGCTTGAACTTTTCCTTCAGCCACTGGCTTCTGTCATAGTCAGGAGCTGCGGTGGGAAGATGAAGTGAAAACAAACCTCCCCGGAGCCCAGCCCACCTTCCCCGGGGCCCTCCCAAGGAGCCAGTGGCAAGACCCCTGAGACAGGTGGATCTAGAATCTGACCACTCAGTCCCATGTCCCAGGGTTCAGGGAGAAAGAATCCGGGTGAGGGCTCTGGACCCCACACGACTAAGGCTTCCAGGCTTTAGGCAAGTCCTGAGGGACACCCAACCCAGTTACCCAGACAGGGGGCCCAGCTTCCCGCCCCAGCATCCCACCCTAGCATTCTGCCTTGCAAAGCCAGAGGGCCCCCTCACCGGGGCTCAGGGAAGGGGCAGGCTGCAGCTGCAGCTCCAGCAGGGAGACCTGCAGGGGCAGCCACAGGTGGCCACTGTGGGTTGCTTGGCGCCAACTCAGCGTGAGTGGGCAGGGCCCGGACAAGAGGGTGCCCTTACCGTCCCCCATCGTGTACTTCTTTTCCTCGTAGCTTGAGTCTGTGTATTCCAGGAGCAGGCGGATGGCGTGGGCCAGCTGGGAGACATGGCCCGCGGCTCGGGTCAGAGCTGGAGTGTCCCTGACTTGGTGACTTTCTCTGCACCAGGGGAGGCCCCAGTCTACCCTGCACGCACCCGTCGCCTCCTCTCCCTCCCGCCTCACACCTTCCCCGCGCCCCCGTCCCTTTCCCCTCCCCCAGCCACACACAGCGGCAAGCACAGGCCTTCCCGTGAGGGACAGTCCTGAAGAGGAACCGTCCCTAGAGCCGGTCCCGCAGCTGCTCCGCACTTCCCTCCCCCGCGTCTCGCCTCCGTCCCACGGCCCAGCGGGCCCTTCCTCACCCCGCGGATGTCCCAGTATCCCAGTATCATAGGCATGGTGCTGGTCGCTGTGGAGTGTGCCTGAGGGCCTCGGCCGGGCAGGGCTCAGACTCTATAAGAGGCCCAGAGAGGGAGAGGAGGGGCCTTACAGCGCCCCCTAAACGCGCACTGAAGAGGGCGCCCGGGGCTGGAAGGAGAAGGATCCCCTCCCACCTCCAGCCACGTGGGTTCCAGGAGCAAGGGCGGGGGAGAACTGTTTGAGCCTTTGAGCCCAGGGATTCAAGGTTGACCTGACCTATGAGCGCGCCACTGCACTCTAGCTTAGGCAACAAAGACTCTCTCTAAAAAGAGTGAGATTCTCAATAGTCACAATAGCCTAATAAAGAAAAATAACGCAAAAGAACATTTGGTGCTCAGGGACTCACTGGGTAAGTTTTCAAAACTTTTCAGAAGGCATGTATGACCTAGACTGTCATGAACTGCAGACATGCATGGTGCAACAAACCTAACATGGGAAGGACAACACAGGCAAGGATGATTATAACTCACTGTCACTTCCAGCCTAAATCCAAAGGTCAGAAATGCCACTTCAGAGAAAAAAAAAATGCTGTTTTTCTCATAAGTGGTGCTGCATTCCCAGGGAGCTTGCTGGGTGGGGAGATAGACAAAAAGGTGGGGAGCAGGGGCTGGGGGAATCACAGGGAGGGAGGAGAAAGCCGATGTGGAAACGTTAGAATCTGGGGTAATGAGAGATCTTTGGATTCATTCCTTTTGCAAATTTCTCAAACCCTGATATTAAATCAAAATAAAAATTTTTAAAAAGACCTACCAAGGCAGACATATGCAAATATTATTAACTGAAATAAATGTTCCATGAAAAAGGACTTACCTTAACTATATGAGTTAATTATGATTTCTATCATCATTATTATTTTAATGCTAGTCTCCATCCAGCACACCACTGGTCTTCAAGTGGAATTAACTTTGCCCCTCAGGAGACATGTAGCTCTGTCTGGAGCCTTTGCTAATTGTGACCACTGGGAAGCACCCACGGCATCTGGTGGGTAGAGGCTGGGTAGGATGCTAAGCACCCTGCGATGCTCAGGACAGCACCCCGCGATGCTCAGGACAGCACCCCACAACAAAGAATTCTGCCTCCCAAAATGACCGTACTGCTGAGGTTAAGAAACCCTAACCTACAACCCGGCCAACGTGGTGAAGCCCTGACTCTGCAAAAAATACAAAACATTAGCCGCCAGGCATGGTGGCGTGCGCCTGTAATCCCAGCTACTTGAGAGGCTGAGGCAGGAAAATCGCTTGAACCTGGGAGGCAGAATTTGCAGTGAGCTGAGATTGCACCACTGCACTTGAGCCTGGGCAACAGAGTGAGACTCTGTCTCAAAAAAAAAGTAGTGGAAAGAGAAAAGAAAAAGAAACCCAGGAATGAGTCAAAAGCTATAGTGGGAGAAGCAAGGCCCTGGAAATTCTGACTGGCAGGAAGGAGACTAGAAGACCCACTTCCCTGGACATCAGCTGGCAGAAGGGAGGACCTAGAGACTATCTCAGCTAGGGCATTCCCTGCAGGCATCAAGGTGCACAACAGGAATGGGAAAAGAAGTGGGTAAGGAAAAGGTCTACCAGGTAGACAGGCTGGGCAGCCTGGTCTTCCAGGGCACAGGGTAGGGAGTGGTGGGACTCTCTCTGCCAGTCAGACAGCAGGCCTCCCCTGCAGCTCTGAGCACGCTATTCCAGAGCCAGGCAGCCTAGCCCAGCACCATGGGGGTAATTCCTCTAGAACTGCAGGGGCAAGGCTAGGCAGGATGAACTGAACTTATTTTTGGAAGGTATCCACCTAGCCTGGAAAACATGGTGAAACCTTGTCTACCAAATATACGAAAATTAGCTGGCCATGGTGGCCCCTGCCTGTGCCCCAGCTATTTGAGAGGTTGAGGTGGGCGGATCACTGGAGCCTGAGAAGTCGAGGGACAATGAGCCGTGATCACACCACTGCACTCCAGCCTGTGTCACAGAGTGAGACCTTGTCTCAAAAAAATAATAAGTAAAATTCTAAAAAGAAGGTATCTACCATGACTGACTATCGTGTGTAGATAGATCCCAGAAGTCCTGCCAATTTGCAATAACTTGACTCTTCCTGCACTTAACACCCCCCTAGGGGTGGCCAAATGATGAATATATAATAAGCACCTGATGACTGCCACAGACATGCATATGAGTGATGCTAGTCACCACAGAGGCAGCCCTTCCCCTGTTCACCCACCCTTCCAAGCCTGCCAGAGAGCCTCACCCAAAATGAATGGGTAACATGTGCAAACAGATGTTTTCATCTTTGGAGACTTTAAAATAATGACCATGAACACGGAGATTTACCAGGAGAAAAGAGGATATCTTCCCTCAAAACCTCCTTGGAGTTTTACTATAAGGCATCTCAGACAGTGCTTTCCATATAGAAAGAGCCCGCAGGTAATAGATATGCCGTAGCATTTTATCTCGTGTTTGGTTATTAAAAAGTACTCATTGATGACAGGGAACCCATTTGTGTGTGTGTGTGTGTGTGTGTGTGTGTGTGCGCGCGCACGCGCGTGTGTGTTTTGCTATGTGTACTAGTCAGGATTCTTGAAAATTTGAAGTGACACCACTGAGATAAGCCCATAGGAAATCTGTCTGTTTATTTATAAATTTATGTATCTCCTTTTTCTTTCCTTTTTTTTTTTAAGATGGGGTTTCACCATGATGGCCAGGCTGATCATGAACTCCTGACCTCAGGTGATCCACCCACCTCGGCCTCCCAAAGTGCTAGGATTACAGGTGTGAGCCACCACGCCCGGCCTGTGTTTGATTTTTTTTAACTTTTGACGATGGTGACCCACTTGTGTTTTATTTGTTTGTTTGTTTTTGCTATGTGTACTAGTCAGGGTTCTTCAAAATTTGAAGTGACACCACTGAGATACACCCATGGGAAATCTGTGTGTTTATTTATAAATTTACGTATCTCTTATGGGAATGAGCTCACACAACTTTGGAGTGAAGTCCCATGATCGGCCGACTGCAGGACAGAGAAGCAGGAAAGCCGGTGG